TTAGAGAAGATCGCAGACATTAAAAATAAGACTGATTTTCAAAATAAAAGAATTGGAGAACTAAAAGACTTAATAAAACGGATGAAAGAAAATAAGATCGGTGATACCCCCACACCTTTAACGGAAATGAAAATGGATCGGAGAAGCCGAGTCCCTATAATCCTATTCGACGAAGCCGAAAAAGTTAAGCATCCGTCCGTTTTGGATGCCTTGGGAAAAATTATGGATGATAATGTAAATTGAAACCACTACGACAAGTTTTTCGAAGGACGCTTGGATTTGTCGGAGTGTTTAATTTTTGCCACGATGAACTGATACGAACGAGCGCCAGATTTTATTAGAGATAGATGTAAGTTTGTGGATATTGAATTATTAACTTACGAGCAAAGAAAAGAGATTTTAAGCAACCGGGCGACCGATTTTGTGCGTCAATTTTTCCCGGCTACTGATACGACCGGCAAAGTAGATAAGAAAAAAGATCAGGAAAACAAAGAAAAAGGAATATTAACTCCTTATCAGCAGAAAATAAGAGACATGATTGGGGAAAGAACAATCGAAAATTGTATTACGGCTACTTGGGGAATACGGGGTGGAATTATGAACTTAAAAAAAGTAATGGACTTATTATTACTTTCGGATGTTCGGGGATTATTAACTACTTTTGACAGTTTGGATAATTGAGATTGGGATAGCGATGAAAGTTTGGACGATGACGACAAAAGCGATAAAGTGCGTCGTTTAAGATACGACGATTTAAACGGAGAAGAATTAGTGCTAACCAAAAAAATCGATTATGACTTTGTAGCCAAGGAAAAAAATAAAAAATGGAGTGCTGTTTTACATGTGGCTAATCAAGTTAAAGACTGACCGAATTATAACCCCGATACTAATTATTATTACCATGGGGAGCCGTTAGATGCTGACGAAGGAGAACAGACCGACCAAGAAACTGTCGAGAGACTAAAAAGAGAAATTGCCCGAGTTAAAAGAGAATGTCAGGACGAAATTAATCGGCATAAAGAAATAGACGAAATAAGGAGAGCAGAATTAGAAACAGCCTTACACGCCCTAGAACAGGCCGGAACCGATAAGGAGAGATTACAAGCAGCCATCGACGATTTGACCGAACAATTGCGTCGAGCCGGATTGGAAAAGCCAGAAATGAAAGAAGTGGAAACCCAGACTGAATTACCTTATTTATCTACAATGGAAATTTCTCGAGTACCGGAAAATGGAGTAGTAAGATTTGGTGTTAGTCCCTTCGAACAAAGAACTCGCGTCCTAACCTTTGACCCCACAGACGCCGACAAAATAAAAAAATTAACGGTTTTAGACTGTCAAGAATTAATTCAAATAGATTTAAAGGGCTTAACTAATTTAGAAAAATTGACCTTAAAAAATAGCAAGTGGGATAATATAAAGAATGCGAAAGAGTGCTTAAAATTAGAAAAAGTAAGCATTAAAGATTGTGTGGAAGTTTCTGTTGACTTCTTGGCAGGAACTAACGTCCAAGAAATAAAAATTATCTAAAAAATTACTCATAATGCCAAGTAAAATAAAATCTTTTAATTTTGCTAACTGTCAACATTTACGGAAATTGCTAATTAGCGAGCAGGTAGAATTTTCGGAAAATATCGACTTAACCAGCACACCAATTAACCAAAAAAATAATGTTTATGCTGATGTTGATCCTAAATTTAAAAACTTGCCAGACGGAATAACGGCTCGACAGGATTATTTTAGCCGTATTAAATTAAAAACTATTACGCAAGAAATACCCACCCAAACTGAAAATATTAATTTAGACTCCACCAATTTTACTCCCCAAGACCAAGAAATAATAAATTTGATGGATGATAGCCTATTTTGATATACTGATTTCAAAGAAAAGGGTCGCAAATCATTTTTAAAACAAAGAGTTCAGGAATTACAAAATAAATATAAAAACGCCACCAGCGACGATATAAAACTATTAGCCGAGCATATTATTTTAATTGCTGGCAAGATATTAGAAAATGCCGAATATTTTGACGAGTTAGGCAATATTAAAACCAAAACTCCTAAAAAAACTAGTTGAGTAGCCTTTCACAAATGATTAACCACTAATATTTTAGAAAGTTCAGGCGACCAATATATTTTTCGTTCGGTTTTGGATATTTCTTATAGCGAATTAAATCCGAATAACATTTCGGCTAATGCTTTAAATCGTTTTATGAATTCGCTAGAAGCGACTATTGATAAAGACGGCAGCAAATTCCACTTATTTCCCCCTTACGATAAGGATTGAATATTTACTGATTATTTTCCTGATACTAAAAGAATTGGTTATAAGACAGAAGCCAAGGCCATTGGGGGAAGTAGCATGACCGAATTAGAAAAATTATTTAAGTGATGGAAAGAGAAAGAAGGGAATTAATGAGCCACAACAACCTTTTTTCCACGCTTTTTCTCTAATTGACTAACGACTTTTTTTAATCGCATTTCACCCCCTTTTCTTTCTTTTTCTCAAAACTTTCTTATATTATTAGGTCATTTATCATTTTTTAAATTAGTAAATTTTCCTAAATCTCGTAAATTATCAGTTGGAAGTTTTATTTTAATTCTTGGATATTCTTTGCTATTCATATTTACTAGTTGTTAATTTATCCTAATTTCTCTCGGTGCCGACGAATCACTTTTAATAATAATTTCAAAAGGGATATGGAGATTATTGGTGTAAGTTATTAATTCTTCCAAGTTTAAATTGTAAA